GTATTGTGTGGGAGGATCGCGTGGAGGGGGGTATTGTGTGGGCGGCACGGTTGGTGGCTAAGTACGGAATTGTATTTTTCCCTGTTTAGTAAATCGAGGTCTCCCCCAAAAATCCCCGTGGTGATCCAGGACGACTCTCTGCCGGCCGGTCCTCCTCCTCAGATCAGGATCCTTAAAAGGCCGACAAGCAACGGCCTGGCCAACAACTCCAACTGCAGCAGCCGGCCCACGGTGCCTGTTAAGTCGCTTGCACAGCGGGAGGCGGAGTACGCGGAGGCCAGGAAGCGAATCCTGGGGAGCGCCAGCCCGGAGGAGGAAGCGGAGAAGCCAGTTGTGGACAGGTGACCCCCATGTGTTTTATAATGAACAAACGCCAAACACCCTGTGCTGGCAGCACGTAGGAGAGTCAGACTGCTGCTCACACATCGGGGAGGCCCCTCCGCTCGAATCCCCTGCGCTGCTCAGGAAGTGATGCAGATCAGGGAATCTTCAGGGGTCGTGTTGGACCGCTGCTTGTGTGAGACCAGCAATCCGACTTCTATGTCCTGCCAGCACTGAGTATTGTAACCATTGTGTGAAGAGAAGCTTATTTATTAATGTAAATACAGATGGACTGAATGTTTATAAACAATGTTACTTTGTATCTCTCTATCTCCCTCTGATCAATGTATATAAACAATGTTACTTTGTATCTCTCTATCTCCCTCTGATCAATGTTTATATACAATGTTACTTTGTATCTCTCTATCTCCTTCTGATCAATGTTTATATACAATGTTACTTTGTATCTCTCTATCTCCCTCTGATCAATGTTTATAAACAATGTTACTTTGTATCTCTCTATCTCCCTCTGATCAATGTTTATAAACAATGTTACTTTGTATCTCTCTATCTCCCTCTGATCAATGTTTATAAACAATGTTACTTTGTATCTCTATCCCCCTCTGATCAATGTTTATAAACAATGTTACTTTGTATCTCTCTATCTCCCTCTGATCAATGTTTATAAACAATGTTACTTTGTATCTCTCTATCTCCCTCTGATCAATGTTTAGAAACAATGTTACTTTGCATCTTTCAGTGACATATTGTTGGGAATTTCTGGATGTTCACCTGTTTTACTCATTCACATGATACATTGATAACCGCTCTCAATTCTTCTTTTGTCTCTTTCTAGACCAGCGAGAATCAATCAGCTGGAGGAGAACAGACAGCCTAACAATGTGATCCGGCAGCCGCTGGGTCCGGATGGATCACAGGGTTTCAAACAGCGCAGATAGATGTGATGGAGGACTATGCTATAGTAAGCTGCACTGGCCTGTCACACCAATGGACTCAAGCGGAGGGAATCGCCTCATCTACTTGCACTTTGATGCCCTTTTGCTCCGCCCACTG